TTTTTTTGCCGCATGCGTTGTGACGTAGTTCGAGCGACCTCTGAGAAAACGGCGCAGCAAGCGGACACAAGAGCGCAGTAGTAATGCAAGGAACAAATGTCACTTGACATCCATGATAAGGGGGCAAATCAAAAAAGTGAGTTACCATCCAAGATCATGGTCTGTGTCTAAGTCGAAGCTAAAGTGAGAAAGCTAGCAGAGGTATTATTGATCAAGATATCTTCAATTTTGTAGCTATTTTGGTTACATTCAAACTTTGAGTATGTCCCTTGATCTATAATAAGTTTTACCAGTTTTGATAAAAACAGTTACTTATTATAGAAATATTACCGGACATCCAAATACGCCACCTACATACTCTACATACTTTTTTAAAATTGAATTTTATCAGTCTGTCCTACATCATTGCTTTGAATATCCATCATGGTAAGATTCGCATGTTACGGAGTCGTAATTTGAAATATTATTATGCTAAGGGATATGTTATGTGTGCAGTGCCCTATGATCAGAAAAAAGTTTTGTAGCCAGGAGATGATTAACTTGATCCAAAAACAGTGCATGAGACATATGGAATCGCGTGCATCTTTTCTATGCAGTGTACGCCGCGTTTTCGCCGCTTGACTGGCATACCAGATTGTGACCTGTTTTGTGCAAGGTGGTAATTTTGTATGAAAACTATTTAAAAAAGCGTGTTTTTGTCGTAGTATGGTTTACATTAGACCTTGAGCATACCTCAGGAGATTTCTTTGCAAGACGATTTGGTCCTAACGACGATGTTACGAGCGATTAAGTTGCTAGATAGACCTCCGACATCTGCGTACACGCTTTGGAATTACGCCGGTTCTGTTCCCTTTCACTCCTTTTGGTTTTGCAGAAATGCTTTACTCACACATTAGTAAGATCACAAGGCTACGATCGACACAACTGTTTCAAGCAGTGTTTCTGTTGTCTAAAAAACATTTTCTATTTAATAATTTCAAAGCGAATATTTTTTTAAACAAGAAAATATGTGAAAAAGGTTTTTAATTAACGATTTAAGTTGAAAAAAAAAACGAATCAACCAAAGTATACAATAGTAGAGTAGATGTGTAAAATCTGTTATCTTCAATCCAACTTAATACTGCAATCATGTGAGCTATAGCTTCACACACTAGTACCAATTTGTCAAATTAGTGTCTTTACACAAATTAAGCAAATCTGGTCAGCCACATAATAGTATTTGATTTCGCAAAAGCAAATATTTTTTTGATATCAAACTCAAAGAATAGTTGAGAAATGTCAGAAAGCTTTGTTGTAATGGGTAGGCAGGTCAAGTAGGAAACTTGATAAGATTTTCAACAAATTATGAGATGAGTGGTGGATGAAGAAGAGATGTAGAAGAAAGCCTACCAAAGATTGTTGAGAAAATTGAGCGTTTGAGCATTATGGGCTGGAAGATCTGCGCAGCATTTCCCTTCCGTGATAGCTTTTGCTTGAAAAGAAAGGTTAGCGAGATTTGGTAAGCTTATATGCTTTCCATCATCTTTTGAATGTTTTCCATTTAAAATTATTGTCAAATATATTTTATTAACTTGAAGAAGCGTTCTATCTCTTCATTATTGACTGCAAATTAGCAAAAAAAATGTTGAATGCTCATGAACATAATATATGGAGTATTGTCAACTTGTTGGTATCTGCACAATAAGCTAGTGTAACGTTTTTTGCGTCAATCATCAACAAACATGTGGGCATTTTGTAACACTATTTTCATCTATTACATCTCATTTAAGGAAGGGTGCAAAGAAATTCCAAACCGCTCGATGTATCTTGATAGTAGAGTGATTGCATTCCTCCTTTAGTTTTGTTTGTGTCATTTATGCTCATGAGGTGAAGAGGTTTTCTTTAAATAATTTACTTACAGGAGACAACCGCTACTTATCTCTCATGTACAGATGCAGGAATCTATTGCATGACATGAAATGCATTATGAGAAATTAGCAAAAGGTTTTTCGTGCACTTGAGTTTCATTGAGTATGTTCATCCGTTTTCATATTGGCGTTCGCTTTAGTTTTACATCAGTCTAAATGAAATAATATCGAGAAGTCTATTAAAACAGTGCATTGTTCTGCATTCCGCATAATAGAAAAATTCTTGTAGCTATTTTCTCGGCACTATAGAGGCGTATTAAAGGTATTAAAGCTGAGACGATTTGCCAGTTAGCTTTGTTTAATATGAAGATGCTTACCGATGTTGAACCTTTGTCGGTACTGTTGATTACATACGGAACTAAATTTGGTAGCCGCTCCCATTTCACTATCAAAGGGGAAATTTCAGAACTTATTTTTTGCTACAGTTATCGTGACTCTAATTTTAAACTACATAGCATTTGTCACTCAGTCTCTAACCACTGAGAGATCTTTATTGAGCACTGAAAGTATTATGTGGCCTTGAGAAGGATAAAGAATAGGTTTATGTGATCTGTGTATAGTTGTTAAACCAGTCTGTTATATATTTTATTCATCAATCAACTGCATGCTCTCGCAAAGTTATCAGTCGTTAATACGGTACTGACTGTACCTTCTTTACTGTAAAGGGAGTAATCATTACCACTTGACTATAGAAAATTGAGCGCGCGCCACTCTTTTGCCTGGGATTATTGACTACAATGACTGTGCCATAATTTGAAAAAAAGAATAGAAAGGGATTGAATTGAAGGACCCTTGTGCGTATGAGTTACTCGAGAGAGTTATCCATGAGTTGCAGTTCCTTATTTAACTTACTTTAGGCAGCTCTTGCTCCAGCTTGTTCCTCTGTGCATCTCTCAACCCAAGTCGACCAATCCACCAATTTGAAGGAAGTTCTTGCAAAGAAAATCCCCGCACACAATGCTAAAGTAAAGGAATTCCGCCAACAGCACGGCTCTACAGTTCTTCAACAAATCACAGTTGATATGGTCAGTTGAAAAGTTATCACGGTATTTGTTCTCTCTTTGTTTTTGTTTTTTTGAGTTTTTGTTCACTTCTAGATTTACGGTGGAATGCGTTCCATGAAGGGTATGGTTACGGAAACTTCGGTTCTCGATCCCGAAGA